CATAAACACTGATTCTTTTTCTTGAATGGACTGGAGTACGGCACGCGATTTAGTGAAACCCACAGGATAATAATAGATCCACTCATCTAGAGCATTAGAAACATTCTCTCTTCTCATATGTCTATTGTCTGGGCAGATGAATGGGAGAATGTTTCTAGTTGGTTTGTTTTGTTGCTTTCAGTTTTCTTTTTTCAAAAATAACCATTTAATTTTCAAATTTCACAAATGAATTTGACTATAGTGATGTAGCTGATTGCTGGAATGAGTGTTGCTCAGTTCTGTACATTTCCATGAATGTTTTCTGGGGGCTTGAGTGTGCCCTCATTAAAAAGTTAGCAGAGGGTTTCTTTTACCACCCTTAATCTGAGCCTTGTTTCAGACATGAGTGACCTCTCTACTCTACCTCTGGGCGCAACTTGCTCCCAATTACCTCCTGAGCACAGTTTCTTACAGTCTTGGTCTAAACTTGGCTAATTTTGGAAATTATACTGTTCACCTTGTTCTTACATGGCCAAATTAGGATGCCAGTAAGGGGTTTGACAGAAATGTCAACAAACATAAAACACACAAACGCTATGAATAACAGAGCCAACATTGACTCACAGGAGCCTGACTTTTGACTGGCATAATGTTTGGAGCACATTTGATCTTATTCAGGCCATGAACTACTTATGACAACAGTGTATCTTTTATGTGACCTTAGGGCTCGTATCTGAAATTCATATTGATGCATTTAACAGCTTACAGTGCATTTAATACAGTTAAGTCAGAATTTCTGTCCATTTGAAAATAAATAGTATATAGAAGTGTGTGGATTAACTACATTTATGTTATAATAGTAACTGTTATAATATTTATAGCATTTGTGTAGGCCGTAGAGGAACATTATTGCTATGTAGTAAATACTAACTTATGTGTAGCTTGTTTTCTATGGCCTTTTTTACATTTAGGTGCTGTAAACAAGCTGCTGTTGGGATCTTTTTTCAGTCTGATGACTCTGTGATCGCAGACTAGACTGTCGGCACAGCATTTAAATTCAGATTACAGCTTTATTGAAGTTTATGAGACAATTAAACATCAGGCTTGCCAGGATGAGGCCTGCTGCAGTTGCCGCCACATGAAGAAGCTTACAAATTGGCAATGGCCGAACCTAGTTAGGCAGCAACATTCCCATGTGATGATGTTATCTGTGAACATTTGGGATGGGTATTGACACAGATTTAACAAATAGATTTGATTCTTATTCACAAGCTCTTGGTTTGATTTCAATTCGATTTATTGAATCATTTGGATCAGATACATGTAAAATACATATACAAGAAACTAATTTCTTTCAACTGATGCTGTCAACTATAAAAAGAATGTCTCCTGTCAGTTTAACGTCTCAGTGTAAACAACAAAAACACGAATCTCTGAAAGCGTTGACGTTAGGCACATGCGTGTTTCATCGACGTCTAATGGTCTGGCAACAGAGTACAGCATTTTTTGTCGTTTTCGTGGATCCATGTAAATTGGGATCGTTCATGAGCGCTCAATGCTGCCGCTTCACTTGAACTGAGGCGCTACATTGATCTGTTGTGGCACATTAAAGATGGATAAAATTCGAAAGCTGAGACGTTGTTTCATATCAAAAGTAAACAACTTGTAATCCGTTGGATGAAGAAGAAATGATGAACTTGCATGATTAGTTCGACTCTGTTCTGGATGAAGGTTTTCTCTCTCTAAACAAACACCGTTGCATTTTGTCGTTTATCAAACGTTATAAATAGTTATATGTCACTCTCACTTTTTTTGTCAGACACAAAGTCACAGAACAAACACAGCCCTGGAAGTGGCCGGCATTAGCAAACAAGACGCAGACAGACCAAAAGATGCACTACCCAGCTGGGTTCGACAAACAGCCTAGAGAGAGATGCACATCAACTTAATTTGTACTGTTCTTTCTTTGCTGACATCAAACTTGGAGAGGAGAGAAGGGGGGCAGGGCCTTGAGTAATTTGGGGGGCCCTACTACGATGATTAACAATAATATAATAGTATGTCTACACTGTACAATGAGTCCCTTATTGACATTTACTTTGGTTATAATAAAAGGATTTGCGAATTGTACAAAACACGCACTGAACAAAAACTCCCGCAGAATGGCAGGTATCGCCACATTAAATTATTTGGCAGGAGATAGATTCAAAATATTTTCTATGCAGGAAAAACCCTAATTTAGAAAAGTTTTGTTCACACATCTACAAAAAACATCACTAAAAGATTGATCTTGGGATTTAAGAAACCCAAGAGAATTGAAAATAACGATTCATCAGAATGAAGATTGATTAAAATTGAGAAATTGATATAGCTTCATAACCACAATCTGTTGAAATGACACCTTGGTTAACTTTTCCTCTTTTAGTACTTTTCCATCCTTTCCTCTTTTAGTACTTTTCCATCCACTGCTTGATTCTTTAGCTTCATCTGCTAATACTGTGGAGGATTTTTCAGGGGGCAGCCATATTTTATTACCAGCCATATTTTATTTGGTTCTTTAGCTCGTAGTTGTGGTGTGTTGGCCAAGGCAACAGTGAAAGATGAGAAAGCAGCCGGGTATCTTCAGTCTACTGTACTGCACCTACTCAGATGCCATGTCCGCAAGCCCGATTGATTTTCCTCCGAGGCATTTGTCTAGAATTTGCATAAATTATGCTGGCTAATATCCTTTCTTCCATCGCTCCCCATTACTTTGACTGGTAAATCTGTGATTTCCATGAAGAGCTGCATTTCGATGTGATTGCAAAAGACTTCTGGCTTATTGACATTGTGACTTGTGTGTTTTGTTTTGTTTAAGTGTCTCTGTTTGGGTTGTGCAGCACTCTATATTTTTTTTTAATACCACAGTTAGGTTACCTGAACAACTAGTCAACTAATCAGTCTTTCAGTGTTTTCGAACATGTTTCTTAGTGGCCATTTATGTAAGACTAGGGCTGCATCCAATGATTATCAAATTATTATTTTGATAAACCATTCATCTGAATTAATCGAATGAAAAGTAAAAAAATATTATGTTTTTAATTCATTTTAATCATTTAATTTTTTCTTTATTTGTCAACCTGCCCAACATTGTCCTCCAAACAATGTGCAATATAAAAGTTATGAAAACAAATCTATGTTGGCTATGCTATAAATTATTTGCAAAAAATGGTTGAAATATAAACATTACCTTCTAAACCAAAATACAACTTATTGCTTACCATTTTAAAGGAATGGCTTTATTAAAGATGGTAATAAACAAAAACAAGGTGTACGAGGTATGAGGAACACACACATTCCCTCATTTGAACAAATTGTATTATTCTACTCCAACAAAAGTCCCTTTACTGTAACTACTCGTATAAAAATATGATTAATTAACTAATTTTAAACCTAAATTCATTTCTAACAAGAAATATTTTAGCAAAATGTAGGTTTTAGTCAGCATTACCAGTACTGGGATAATTCTACTGTGTGCTGTTTGTTTGGCATACATCAGTGCTCGTTTATTAAAGACTGGAGTTTAATGGAGACTTGCTGCTTGTCAGGTTATGCAAAATGGAAATACTTGCGGGACTAACTAACATTTACGGGTAAGGAGGAGATAACCATAAAATGAAAATTATGTTCTGAGAAAAGCATGTCTCAAAAGCATTAAACAGATGCATCTGCCAAAGCATGACAGGGCAAGCCACAGTAAAATGTTTGAAGCTTATAGAATGAAGAATATAATATGCGTTTCTGACAACTAGGTCATGTACATTTCCCACAGCAGCAACTCACTCTGTGTTTCACTATTTTTTTTCCATAAGCGTTATGTGCAAAGAAATGTGTTTTTCGCTACTGTAAAGTGATGTGACTGGCTGATAGTTTCTGGTGCACAGCGTCTATCGACTAATCGATAATACAATTCTTTGTTAATTATTTGATTTATTATCGATTTTATTGTTTAGTTGTTGCAGCCCTACTGCAGATATACAGAGAGCATGACTTAATATTCATCTTAAAAAGGCAACATTCATGGTGGGATTCATAAAAAACAACATAAGATGCAACTAAAGACTATATAATGCTCAAGACAGTTTGTCCGTATTGAATGAATGGGGGGAAACTGCAACATGCAATGGAGGGACGTATTTTTGAATGACAAATCCCAGAAATTAGTTAACATTTTTGCACTTGCGCTTCCGTCTTCTTGAAGTCAATCAAGTCAAGGTTTTTGGTATACTTGTAATGGGCTATATGCACGCATAAGTTCTGCATTTTACGCAAGGATGCTCTTCAGTTTCCGGTTGGGGAGATTTAAAGAGTCTTCAAAATTTACTGTCCTCCCGTCTTTAAAACGAAACTTTAATACGTTTAGATGTAGTTTTACATATAGTTATGTTTATTTAATATAATTTTAAAAAGAAGCATAAACACAACGAGGGGTTTCTGTTTTGTCTGTTTTTGTGACTAACATTTCTTTAGTATAACCATAGAGTATAAAAACCAATATAAATTCTCGGTATTGCATTGGACTCTACGATCGGCGGAAGTTATCGAGCATCCTTAGAACTTCACCGGAAATACCGCCGAGCATAGAGCCTATAAGGTCTGTGGTTAACACAAGCTCAGGATATTGTCACATTTTTAAGAAAGTTTTACTTTTACTAAGTCTTGAAAATGAATTACTAACAAGTGGCTAAATGGGACTACAGAGGTTATCGGGGACTTTAAAAGTCATCATAGGGAAAATGGTTTAAAAATAAAGACTGACAGCTTAGCGAATTTGAAGTAATTCGAACGTGTTTTAGTTTGTTTATAGCCTACGTTTAGCCTTTTACTTCTGGCGATTGTTTTTAAAATGATAATTTAGCAAATATATAATTATCTGCCCTAGAGTAAGTGCATGAATTATCTATATATATATATATATATATATATATATATATATATATATATATATATGTATGTTCTCACTATGTGTTTACACTCTGCAGGAGGCAGATGGAGACGACAGGCTTGCATTTCCCGGTGAAGGGGAAGGAGAAATGGAGGGCGACTCCAAAGGGGACACACCAGACATGCCACCTCCCACAGATAACACTCCACAGTGTCTCAACAAAGCCCTGGAGGGCTTGTCATCTAGGTACCCAATGACACTGAGTTCATGAGCAACTCCCCAAACAGTCTATGTTAGCATTATTTACACAGTTTAGGCCCCACTACAATACGCACAGGCAACTATGTGTCTCTAAGGTCTCACAAACTAGTTGAACCTGTTTTTGCTGGGAAAAAGAAAACCAGTGCAGTGCACTAATATTCTCTAAAAACAATCCTATCCGCATATGATGGATTTTTCGGTAAAAATTGATCTGGTTAATCTTTAATAGACACATAACCTTACAGAATGTTGTATTGCTCAGCTATTCACTTTGATTCTGATCAATAAGACAGACTCTAGTGATATTGGATATGCAGATGAGGTTAAGGGGTAGGTCAGTGGGTAAAATGCTCCTAATCCTTGTCTGTGTTGCTGCTCTGTTAGTGGGATTTGCTGCAGTCTCTTTAAAAGACTGCAGAGTCGCTGATCGAATGCAGGGCGACATGCCTGAATGCCAGCGCCTGGCTATGCTTTGTGATGATGCTGCGCTTTTTTCCCTCTCCCTCCCATTTCTCTTCCTCTCCATTGACAAATCTCCTCTTATTATTTTAAGCGGCATGTGTGAGTTGTGGCACCTGCAAACAGTTTATTACACTCTGGGCCAGAAAACGAAGAATTCACATCTCTCATGAAGCCCCATTTATTACATTTATGGCGCCATCAGCATAAATCGATCTCATCCATTTTGTTCTCAGAAATCTCAGAACATCAAAAATACAACTTCAGCGATCAACAGTGGGAGCTTAAATCAAACTGAAATCATTGTTTTCATTCTGTTCGTGGCATTTCATGCATTTTAACACCTACATTAGAGGAAAATGGTCATCAATGGGGTTACTGGGTCCTCAGTTTAACATTATACTCGGCTTCATTTTCACCTCTTTCACTGGCTTTTAGTGGCTTTTATTTCTACCCTTAAAAGTGGGGATGTGCCCCCATTTATTATTTAAACTGTCTCAAAGGGTTTCCTACTAAACTGTAGTCTTGATTCTGGAGTTTTGATTCAACTATTGATTCCTCATGCAAATCTCGATCTCGGCAGGTGGAAGAACTGGTGGATAAGAGGCATATTATCAATGACCATGATCATTGGCTTCTTCCTCATCATCTATTTGGGACCCATTATGCTTATATTTGTGGTAAGTATAAGTACAAACCATATGTGTACCACATAAAATTAAATTAACATGATTAACACACTGACCACTGGCTAGCCAGCGTTTGTGTTTCCTAGACCAAGCATTTACACAACATCCTAGCTGCCCTACCACAAACCCTTTGGGCCACTTAGCTCTTTTATAACCTCACTTAAACTGACATAATGTAGATGTTTTCAATGAAAAGTCTATATGAATCAATCGATGCAGTGATTTTAAAAAAGATGTTTGACTCTTACAACATTTTTATATTTCTTTTTTATAGGTTATGGGTGTTCAAATCAAGTGTTTTCATGAAATTATAACCATTGGCTACAGAGTTTACCATTCCTATGATCTGCCTTGGTTCAGGACTCTAAGCTGGTGAGTAAAATGCAGACAAGACACTGTTTAAAGCTTCTCTTCTCACTATCTCTCCACCCTTTCCCCCTTCTCACTGATTTATGCACTTTACATTCATGTACAAACACTCAACTATAAACAAACATACACCTACTCTCTCACGTTTTACCAGTCACCTTTTGTCATAGATAAAGTTGTGATTAAATGGACTTGAGCAAAGTCCACTTCCATGTTGGAACCTACTGTAGCATAAAGTACGCCCCACCTGCAGGCTTTGCCCAAAGCAGAAGAAAGGGGCCGTGTATTGTTAAAACTCAACACAGTTTCTGTCAAATATGTGTCTTTCACTCAAATAGACTCAGATCTTGACACAAATGCACCTTGTATTTCAGGTATTTCTTGATTTGTGTGAACTACTTCTTTTATGGCGAGACAGTGGCTGATTATTTCGGCGCACTCGTCCAAAGGGAGGAACCTTTGCAGTTCCTTGTGCGTTATCATCGGTTCATTTCTTTTGCAGTGTATTTGGCAGGTGAGTGTAACTGAAAGCCTGCATAAAACACTCCCAAGGAGACAATCAGAGACTTTTATGACTCTAGGTCAAAAGCCCATAGTCCACAATTAGCTTTATCTCATAATTTATTATATTCTGAATCATATTCAAATTTGTGTATTTATGAAATTAATTTACTTCAAGAGAGATGCATGCTTGGTCACATTTACCAATGCTTCAACATGTGAATATGCTGTTCTTCTTTGCCAACAAGCTATTGAGCTGCTGCCACACTATTGTTCTAAGGTTTGGGGTCAGTAATTATTATTCTTTAAATAAATGAATACTTTAATCCAGCAAGGATACATTAAATTGGTTAAGCACATTTATAATGTAACAAAAGACTCCTATTTTAAATAAATGAAAGCTCTTTTGAAAATATTCACAAAAATACATTTCCACAAAAATATTAAAGGGTTAGTTCACCCAAAAATGAAAATTCTGTCAGTATTTACTCACCCTCATGTTGTTCCAACCCCGTAAGACCTTCGTTCATCTTCGGAACACAAATTAAGATATTTAAGATATTAAGATCGCTCCTGCATACAGTCCATAGGCTTCTTGAGGGACTGGCTCTTGCTGTCCCCGAAAAGTCATTAAAGACATCGTTAAAATAGTCCAAGTGACTACAGGGGCTCAATCTTAAGTTTATCAAATGACGAGAACACTTTTGTGCGCAAAAAAACAACAAAAATAACGACTTTATTTCAACTATTCGTTTATTTCTCCCTCTGCGCGAGTCAGGTTACTAGTTTAATAGCGTAAGCTTCTGTTATTGTACGTCACACGCATCACACAGACACACATGACCAGCGTCGGCCAATAGTGAGCCTACGTGTGACGTAGCTCTACGCAATCACACTACGTTAACTGACTTACAGGCTCATGGAGAAGGAAGTGAATAGTTGAAATAAAGTCATTATTTTTGTTGTTTTTTTGCGCACAAAAGTGTTCTCGTCGTTTGATAAACTTAAGATTGAGCCCCTGTAGTCACTTGGGCTATTTTAACGATGTCTTTAATGACTTTTCGGGGACAGCAAGAGCCAGTCCCTCAAGAAGCCTATGGACTGTATGCAGGAGCGATCTTAATATCTTAAATATCTTAATTTGTGTTCCGAAGATGAACGAAGGTCTTACGGGGTTGGAACAACATGAGGGTGAGTAAATACTGACAGAATTTTCATTTTTGGGTGAACTAACCCTTTAAGCAGAGCAACATCCATTTCAACATAGATAATAATAAGAAATGTTACTTAAACACCAAGTCAGAATATTAGAACGATTTCTATAGGATCTTTGCCATCACAGGAATGAATTCTTTTTTTAAATATATTAAAATCGTTATTTTAAATTGTAATAATATTTTACAATATCACTAATTTTATAGTATTTTGATCAAACATATACAGCCTTGGTGAGAACTAAAAACTTACCGACTCCAAACCTTTGAAAGGTAATGTACAGTATATTCACAATATAGCACAACCTTGAGCACCGCGACTATTTAAGTAAAAAAAAATAAAAAATAATTAAGACAATTGAACACTGCCTGGCCAAAAAATAAGTTGCTGTTTGGATTTAAATTGGCAAATGCTGAAGAGTCTATGATTGGATCATTATTGCTGTGATTTATGTTTTTAGTATGTTATATGTTTATTTATGTTAATTTATTTATGCTTTTCATTACTTAAACAACCATGTTCTACATCATGGCCATATTCCAGGATGACAACGACAAGATTCAATGTCAAATTGTGAAAGAATGGTTGGGAGGGAGCATGGGAATCATTTTCACTCATGAATTAGCACCTTAGACTCCTGACCTTAAATTCATTGAAAGTCTTTGGGATGTGCTGGAGTTGACTTTATAGAAGACTTGACTCTTACATTGTCATTACAAGATATTGGCCAAGTATTATTCATGCTCCCTCCCGACCATTCTTTCACAAATGAGCCTGATGAATCTTGTCGTTGTCATCCTGGAATATGGTCATGATGTGTCTTCCAACATGGTTGTTTAATAAATGAAAAGCTACACACTCCATCAATTAGGGTTAGACGAACTGTTGCCAAACCTATAACATGCTAGGAACATAATAATCACTGCAACAATGATCCAGACATAGACTCTTAAGCATTTGCCTATTTAAATCTGAAAAGTGACTTTTTTTTGTGGCTGGGCAGTGTATTTGGTGCGTCACCCTTTTGCTTTAATGATAGCATCACTCTGCATGAACTTCACAAATTTCATGAGTTTGGACCAGTTTAGGGCTGCGATAAAGTCACTGCTGCAAAAGTAGATGTAAATGTGTGTTCATAAACAGGACCAAAGGCTCATGTTATGGCCATAAATACACAGCATGTTGGAAGCTGTAGCACTGCAGTCATTTTTATTTTCACTAAACCTTCTTTCCAACACCTCTTAAAGGGATACTCCACCCAAAAATGAAAATTCTGTCATCATCATTTACTCACCCTCAAGTTGGTGCAAACCTGTATGAGTTTCTTTCTTCTGCTGAACACAAAGGAATATATTTTGAAGAACGATTGGAACTTTGGCATCATTGACTTCCATAGTATATATATATATATTTTTTTTTCAAATATGGAAGTCAATTGTGCCAAACAACTGTTTGGTTTCAATCGTTTTTCAAAATATCTTCCTTTGTCTTCAGCAGAAGACAGAAACTCATACAGGTTTGCAACAACTTGAGGGTGAGTAAATGATGATGACAGAATTTTCATTTTTGGGTGGAGTATCCCTTTAATGGTTGTCATTAAGACCTCTGTATATTAGGGAGAGCCTTGAGTGTAAATCACATTATACAGTATAAAGAATTACTCAGTGTGTTTGTTCCAGTATTTTGTAGATGTATGAAAACAAAATATGTCATAATGTTGTGTACTGCTTCTGTCATAACAGTGATACGGAATGTTTCCAAAACAAAATTAAACTTATAATAGCTATACTGATGAAAAAAACTGTTAATGATACAGAAAACCATGATCAGATTTATAATTTCTCCTGTATTTTAGGAAATTAACTGCATGTTTTTTGCTTTTTACAGGTTTCTGCATGTTTGTACTGAGTTTAGTGAAGAAGCATTACCGCCTACAGTTTTATATGGTGTGTATCAGTCTTTTCTGTGCCAGCCAGAACTAAACGGTCCATTCCATTCACAGTCATGTGTGTCTCATATGCTGGACAATTAGATACTCACTAGTCACATGTCATCATATCTCATTTAAAACTATTTCTGTATAGTTAGTTCATATTCAGATATCTTGGGTGTTGTGAAAGTATTTCAAAATATGTTAAAATATATTTATATTAGATGCTGATTTAAAAAAAAAAAAAAACTACAGTAGTCAACATTTGAAGTGGATCAAAAAAGTTATCCTAAGACAAGAACGGGTATTGTCAATTCATGTATAACTTTGATGAAAGGATTTGATCCATGTTGACTACTGTATTTTCAAAAGTTTGGGGTTGGAAATATTTTTTTAATGTTTTTAAAAGAAGTCTCTCATGCTCACAAATGCTGCATTCATTTGATAAAAATACAATAAAAAACAGTAATTATGAAATATTATTACAATTCAAAATAGCTATTTTATTTTTTTAAACGTATTCCTGTGATGACGCAGCTGAATTTTTCAGCAGCCATTACTGATTTTTTTTCTGAACAGCACTCATTTGAAATAGAAATCCTTTTAACATTATGAATCGCTCTACAGGTAATTTTGATCAGTTTAATGTCCCTTTGCTGAAATATTTTTTATTATTATTTAATTTATTTTAGAATTAAAAAAGAGCAACAGCAGTGATGATGCCATTGCGATATTTGAATACTAAATTTGTCTTCTTTTTTGCATTTATTTGCACAATTAATTAATTGATTGTTGATTGATATTTTCATTGCACTCTAAAGATGGTGTCTCATAAAGCCACTTGAAAACAAGACGCACACTTAGCATCGTGACAATGGCAATGGTGGCTCTGATGCTGCTTTTTATTGACGCACAACCCCCAAGCCTGAATTCAAACATGAACACTAGTCATCTGCTACTTTGCTAGCACTGATAATTCCTTCAGGACATGCAAACATTGTTGGACTTCTGATTTGAGTCCAGCCACAGCAGTTCAGGAACTCTAATAATAGGCATAAACTGTACTTACTTCACTTAAACTACTGATGTCAGCAAAATGTCATTTTCTTTGTGAGTGTGAGTGTGATTAACGCCCATAACACAACACCAACTGCCACAAGAAACGCTCGGCAACAAAATACTTTTTTGTTCCTGCCAAGGTTCCTTTAACAATTAGTAGTCAAGTATTTGACCAGTTTGTTTTATGTTATAGTCTTAGTTGAGTCTTCCTAATTAATATTTAAGATTTAAAAGTGTTTATCAGTGAATAATAAATCATGCTGTGATTGTGTAAAAACATGTTGCATTATATATCATCATTGTTTTAGTGTATAGACAACATTTCAACTGTTCACTCTGAGTTTGTGTGTGTTTGTATGTGGATGGCCATTTTGTGTGTGTGTGTGTGTGTTTGTGCTTGCCATTCCAGTTTGCTTGGACCCATGTGACCTTGTTGATTGTGGTGACTCAGTCACATCTGGTTATTCAGAACCTGTTTGAGGGAATGATCTGGTAAGCCCACCTGACCTGACAGACCAGTTTGAAGTTTCACCTCATTCCTACTTAAGTTTCTCAAACTACATTTCTTTGTTTCCTGACGTTTCGCTTGATGACATATATAGCCGATCAAGGGAGAGCAGTGTACAGTACTCATTTTTGTTCATAATTGTTCATGTTGTAGTTAACATGTTTTAGTTATCAATAATTGTCTAAAAAAAGTCAATGGGTCACAGCTCCACTACTTCCTGAACTTCAGCCAGCTCCTTGTTTCCTGTCTGTCATTATTGGACACATTGACTAATTCAGGTGTGTCTGACCTCAGTAGTCACGGCAACAATAATCAGACACACCTGAATTAATCAAATTGTCCAATAATGGCAGACAGGAAACAAGGAGCTGGCTGAAGTTCAGGAAGTAGTGCAGCTGTGCATAGAGTTGCCCATTAAATGAATGTGAACTTCTCTCCCTTGTGTATTTATACTTTGTTGTTCACTGCAGTTTCTTCTCTCCTACAGTATGTCTGTGTAAAATAAAACTATAATTTGTTCTCCAGGTTTATTGTTCCCATCTCTATTGTGATCTGTAATGACATCATGGCCTACCTGTTTGGCTTCTTTTTTGGAAGAACACCACTGATTAAGGTAAACCTGTGATGTTCATATGGTAGATGTTTCATGCCTTAATCGACTGAGATGAGTACATTTTCCATAAATTCATGCATTGTGGATAAAAATGATCTTATGTCATCTATGTCTATCAGCTTTCCCCGAAGAAGACCTGGGAAGGATTTATTGGGGGATTCTTTGCAACAGTGGTCTTAAGTTTCTTTGTAAGTCACCATTAGACCTGTAAGCAACTGTCATGTCAACACATATCCCTCGAGATATGACTACTAAAGCCTTGATGTCTTCCCCTTTTTCCAGTTTGCCTACCTGCTATCCCAGTACCAGTACTTTGTTTGTCCAGTGGAATACAACAGCGAGACGAACCGCTTTGCAGTAGAGTGCGAGCCCTCAAATCTGTTCATGATGCAGGAATACGCACTTCCTGCAGTGGTGCAGAATGCAATTAGATGGGTGAGCACTGGACTGGGCAAAACTTCATACTGTAACAATAATCCTCTGAAGTGATAAGTAAAGATGAATGTTACAAAATGATTGTTGTATTAACTGATGATCTACATCTTTCTTGTGTCTGCAGAAAACGGTGAACCTTTACCCATTTCAGATCCACAGTATTGCACTCTCTACGTTCGCCTCTCTAATCGGACCATTCGGTGGATTCTTTGCCAGTGGCTTCAAGCGAGCTTTCAAGATCAAAGTTAGTTCACGTTCAGCCGAAGTCGCACATAAACTCTTGAATTTGTGTCTTTACACAGTCTTTATCTACTTGGAGTGACCGTTACACTGTGAGCTTGTGCTTTTTCATTTTGTAGGACTTTGCGGACACCATTCCTGGTCATGGTGGAATAATGGATCGTTTTGACTGTCAGTATCTGATGGCGACGTTCGTTCATGTTTACATAGCAAGTTTTATCAGGTAAGCAAGTCAGGTGACCTCTTAACTCAGTTGGTTATCATTTCTTATTTCGAAACTATATTGCCTATACAAATCCATAAAATAAATGAAACTGGAAGTATGACAATAAAAATAATTGAATTAAACACAGGGTCCAAAATTAACAGACCAAGTGCTGAATGTGTGTAAACATTGGCTTTATCCAATAAATAAAATAGATTTACTCATCAGTGGGCTGTTACTTTTATAATTACCTTCATCATAATACATCAAGCTATACAAGATCGTCTGATCCCTCGTGATTTAAGAAATCAAAGAAATACAAAACGTCCGTCCAACCATCTGTCGAGACTCTTCAGTTAAATAATCCCATTATCAATAAGACAGCTGTATGTGACCTGCTCCAACAATTTAACACATTGTGAGTTTTATGCACTCATTTTTAAAGAATACCAGTAGTTGAATCCAACATTTCCATAATCTTGTCTTGGCATTAGTTTGTAGTAGAAATGATGTATAAACAAACAAAAAAGAATATTATTAAATATTTATATTATTTTATTACACTGTACAGCTTCTTAATTTTTTATATTTTACAAAAAATATTTTCTATTTTATTATATTATCTACTTTATTAAATATTTGTGGATTTTTAATGTTTTTTTTTATTATTAAATTCTGTTTTTTGTATTACACCATTAATTCACACTGTGGGATGGGGAAATCTTGGAGCAGGTCACATACAAGTTCTGTCATGAAACTCTAGATGGGGCCAGGCTGATGGGTCCTTAATGCAAACTGATGACATTTACATCGTTTACTACTACTTGGCATAAGCTGATTGGTTCTTGTCGCATCTGCAGCTAGACGTGCTGGTCAACATGTAAAGGGGTCTCATTATGCCCTTTTACAAAGTCTTGATTTTGTTTTTGGGGCGTACTAGAATGTTTTCTTGATCAATTGTACAAATAAACGCATTATTTTAAACATTTTACATTTATTAGAGCACCTCTTTCCCTAGTCTGTCTCAAAAGCGCCATCTAGGTCCTGTTTCAATGAAGACCCTCCTTCTGAAATATGAAAGGTGCTGTGATTGGTTAGCTGGCCCAGTATGTTGTGATTGGCCACCGGATATTTCAGAGTAGTTTTTTTGTAATTTTTATACATTATAGATACAATGTTATCCACCATTTAATTGTGATATTTGTTGGAAAACTAAGGTATTACAAACAGTAATCGGTAACAAAATCATGGTTCATTTTCCTAAAGAGCGGTGAACCGTCTTACAGAAGCAAGAGCTTACATAAGCTACAGAAATAAACTGCTTAAAATGTGCAGCGCACATATACATGTTGGGGTACATTACAATGTTCAGGAACAGCTTTTGAAATCCATTTTAATCACTCTAAGTTTGTCCAGCAAACAGAGGGGTTTTGGAACCGGGGTGAGGAAAAAAAGCGTCTCTTCGACATAGCAGTGGCACTCTTAGGCCCTGTCCCAAATGGTACCCTAAGCACTCTTGGTCTTCCTACGAGTCCACACTTTCGTGACGGAACGTCACTTTGACTGTCGGGCGGGAGCCCCCATCAGTGCGGGCTCGGCAAAAGTGCGCCTATCAATCGCAAAGGGGGCGCTTGCGAGCACCCTTCTGAAACCTAAAATGATAAATGGGACACACTACGGTCTCATGGACTTAACGGACACGAGCATGCGGCAGCCATTGTAAGTCCACAAGACCGAAAGTGCATGTGAAGTGTGCCATTTGGGACAGGGACTGGGCATTGAGTAACATTGTGACTTCATAAGATCTGGAAAAATCCCTGTTTTTGCTCAGCAGCAATCATAGACAACAGAAATAATCAACTGCTGCAATATCAGCAGCAGATCTATTCCACTAAGACCAAGTACACTGTCATATCCATTACCATGCTAAAAATCTTCTGAAAGTTGTCATGATATACATATCTTACATTTTTAAAGAAGCCCAAATGTAGATGTTTTCACTAGTGATATTTTGCAAAAGTAACTGTATTGTCGTTTAGCATTTTGATTTAGATATCAGCACTAAAATTTAATGAGGCATGTTTGACACTGTTTTGATGGTCCCACTCCCCAGGGGGCCGAACCCCAGTAAGGTCTTACAGCAGTTGCTCGTCCTGCAACCAGAACAACTACTCAGCATCTTCAACACGCTGCGCAATCACTTGCGAGAAAGGGGCATGCTGCCCCCTGCTGTGGAGGAAGCCCAATGACGGACAACTCCACCACAGCAGACAAAAACAGTTCATGTCCTGTTGAACTCTGCAAACATTCACTCATGACTGTGATCACAAGAGCACACTCCCAAACGACCGCAGGAGCTCCCGTACAAAAAGAGAGTGTGACGTCTGCTGCAAACCAAACTCTCACTATCAACCCATTACAGACTTAACCACAAGAGGGCGACACGGTTCTATTAACCTGAGTCACTGTTTTTAGGAAATCAACATCAGAGGTCTTCCAAGATCCAAGCACATGGTAAGTGAATGTATAGCACTACAAGAAAGGCGCTTCCGCGGAGTGTCATCATTGTTCCGATTTTAATAGTGGCTGTGGCCTGATATATGAGTGTATGACTGGCTTTGTGAATGCAATAACTCATGGAGGTGACTTAAGGTGAGATGCCATTATTCTCATAGTTAGCATTTAAATGAGCTTGATTTATAACAGGGGTCCGAAACTTAAAGCATTGTAAAACACGTCTAAAAGCGGAGCATGTCCGTAAGTCCTACTGTTAGGCTACTGCTTTTTCCATTCCACATTACTGAGGGTGCTAGAGTAACTCACTTGTGTGTGTGTACATATCATCATATGTATTATTGTACATATATATGATATACTAGATCAAATATAGTGAGAGATTATACATTTATTACAATAATATATAAAGCTTAACATATTCTAAATTATAGTAAGTTATGAAAATGATATGCAAGAAGACTTTGACTTGTCTTCCAATCCAGCATGGCTAAACGTCTCTATGGGTGGAGAATAAGTTGAACGGGTTGTTTTTGGGGGATAAACAGCCTTTTTGAGAAGGTGATCTGCTGTTCCCCTGCGTGACCATTCATTTTAGTTGCACTGTATCTACACGAGTCGAAAAATTCACTTTGAACTGTTTTCAATTAGCTTTTCAGGTTTTAATATCAAAAAGCACTGATGCACAAATATCCAATATTTGAAATATTTCAAATTAAATCTGCTTAAATTTACTAAAAATGGTAAGTTGATGTTTATATGCTTTGTTTTTTTGGTCCCACTTTATATTAAGTGGCTTTGAGTACTATGTACTTACATTGAAACGAATAATTTGATACAATGGACTTATACTGTACTTACATGTTTTTACATTGTACTTACATTTTAAAAATACCAGCATGTAATTACAGCTGTAACTAATTTATGTAATTACATCTGTAATTACACAGCTGACCCATCCCTTACACTTTAACCTACCCTTAAACCTACCCATACCACCACACCTGTCCCTAACCTTACCCTCAATAACAGCAAAAGTGTTTTACAATACAACATGAGCACAGTAAGTACATTATACCTATTTTTAAATGTAAGTACATAGTACTTAAAGCCACTTAATATAAAGTGGGACCGTTTTTTTTATTTTGTTTTTACAATATCTTCCCTGCTATATTGTTTTTTGCTGCTCTTGTTGTTTTTAAAAACCTGAATTTTCATGTTAATTTAATGATGTGAAATCTTTCGGAATTATTTTCCAAACAAATGTACCAAAGCACTGTCAATTTTGCTGTGACAAAAAAAGCTTAAATATAATGCAATGATTAACATTTGTCAAATACTACAACCTTACAAAAGAAAACAATAAATCCTGTAACAATTAATAAACCAACTGAATAAATTGGGTATTTATAGTAGTTAAATGCACTTAAAGAACAAGATTAACATTACTCTTGGTTATTGTAACTTTACTGAGGATGCACATCAGGGACATAGTGTAGTTTTGGACCAGTTGTGTGAATTGTAAAGTCCCCCAAATATATATAATGACTATGATTATGACCCCTTACCTTTTTCATTCCTGTCTGCATTAGGTTTACATGTTTCTTCTTTCGTTCACATCTGCAGTCCTATAGACATTTTGCAGTCATGTGAGAATGTTGTGTTTATAGAAATATGAATCATATCAGACCAAACAGAGAAAGGTGGCTATAGCTTATTTTGTGGATGTCACAATTGTATTAGATTTTTAGATTTTGAGAACTGCTGTACAATTTATCATGTTACCATTATATAATATTGTGCAAGCTCATTCTGTTCAGAAGCTTAGCAGAAATGGGTTTTAAATTACTTATCATGGTTTGTGTTATTCATTGTTTTAAAAAAAAAAATGGGAACCTTTATTTATGTCGGTTTGATTTTCAGATTTTTAAAACAGTAGGCCTAAGTTTTCAGTAGTAGATATTTACCAGAAGACAAAGTAACAAATAATGGGCAATACTGGGAAAAAGTAAGAATTATTATTATTATTATTATATTACTGTTATTATTGCAATGCTACATTTGGTGAATAAACTTAACTTTTGACCTACTCTCACTCTGGTCACATTTATTACATGATTTTAGTTTTCCACCACAAATACAGTTTTCTGCAAGCAGCAATTGAGTGTTTATTCTCAAAATTGCATCTTTGTTTGGTGTTAAACAGTAACATTTTGAACTGATAGCGAATTCACAAAACCAAAGCAGACTGTTAATGTAAAGAAAAGTAGATTAATCAACAACAACAACCACTTGAAATAGCAATTGAACTGTTGAACAAGTGCATTTTACATATAACATCTTGCAGCCAGTATGGTAATAACATTTAGATGAAATTCAAACCAACCAACATTATAATGGCTTATACATCTTGATTTTCATGATCTCTACCTGTTCAATCCAGAGTCAGACTGTAAAGTATAACGGCGACTTCATTATTCAAGCTAAGGTGCATCAATGGTTTCATTGCCACACAAAATGAACAGAAGATTTTTTTTTTAGAGCATTACAAAACATTGACAGAGCATTTACCTCAACCTAATGCATGATGTTTTGGACGGTTATACAGCTGTATGAAAGATTTCAGTCACCAAAACCAGTCGAGACCTGAATCATAGCTCCATTAGAATAGGAAGCAACCACAAAACCAAACGAATCCAGCTCTTTATAGATGATCATATTTACATTGCAAGAAGTTAAGTACAAAAGTCAAAATAATTAACAAATAAATAATAAAATAGGGATTTTAAAACAACCTAACTTATCCTGGACTTAAAAAACTCAGTAGTTCTTTTTGTAGATCTTGCTGTTTGAATTAAGTGAAAACTTTTAAGTAGGGCTGTCAAACCATTAAATGATTAAATATATCGAAAATATATTTTACATAATATTTTATATATATATAAACACACACACATGCTTCTATATATTTAAGAAATATTTTCATGTTTATACTGTATATAGATTTATATATAAATATTTTTTTCTTAAATATTAATGCATGTGTGTGTATTTATATAAATACAAAATAATTCTACACAAAGTGTACATTATGTAAACACAAACTTTTATTTTGGATGCGATTAATCGTGATTTGACAGCCCTACTTCTAAGTAACACAATTCACATTCAAATATGAACAAAAAATCAAAACGATGTTTTAGCATGCTAATAAAAACTGTGAGATGAGAAAACTTTAGTGCATATCTGTTAGGAGAAAAAAAAAAAAAGCCCTCCGCAGACCACTGCTACGACATTGAAGACTCATCGTGATGAAGACCAAGCGCTTATCACACCACATCGATCACTTCCACTGTCTATCACGCTAAATAACTGGAGAGATCTGACCCATACGGATGCCTTCTGCAGCATTAATTCTAAACAATGGCTCTGGAAAGCTAGCCAAACCTTGATCTTAGGTCAAACATCGAGGTGTTTTCTTCTTCTCCGTTCACAGCTAAGTCAATACATCAGTAATAGGCAACCTTAAGTCCTCTTCCTCTACTGGAACGCTGTCCAAATCATTCCTTGCAGAACAGAAGAGCCATCTGAGTAGCGCCAGCACCACACGGACCAGAAGCCTCAGCAACAGAAAAGCGAACGGTACGCCAATCTCCATCATGTGAAAGATGGGCGCGCTGAAGCGGCTCAGGATGCAGGTGAGGAAGAAGGTCCCGAGCGCCACACAGGGGTAGAGCGAGAGCTTGGCCAGCATAAATGTGTGGTCTCGACCGCCGTAGCGCACGTACGGGTGCAACGTCTCGCGCTCCGTGAAAAGCGCCGCCACCCACATCGCTAGCTGGAACAGACCTGCGAAGAAGATGATGACGCAGCTGATCTGCACGGCCTCCAGCTCATTGCGGGAGCCTCTGGGAAACTCGTGCGTGAGCTGGTAGGCGAGGGGCAGGCCACCCACAAAGGCCAGGGAGAACGTGTTGAAGAGGCCCATGAGGCGCGTGGCCTTGGTCACGTGCAGGAAGAGAGAGTGATGAACGAACCAAAGCAGCCCGACGGTGGCGTAGGAACCGAAGTAGGCCAGGTACTCGGGGCCGTACTCCTGAAGCGCAGCAACCAGGCTGTTGTTAAACTGCTTCTTCACCACAGACGGATCAGGCACGTTGCCTTCACTGTGTAAATAGACATTAGACATTAATGCAAGGCAAGTTTGTTTATATAGCATAGTCGTCCTTCAGTAAATGAATAGCTAAACTGACGTGTTTTGAAAGCGTTAGTTCACCCAATAATGAAAATTCTGTCATTAATTACTCACCCTCATGTCATTCCAAACCCGTAAGACTTTCATTCATCTTCTGAACCCAAATGATGATTTTTGTCTCTTCCATTGACCGCTACAAAACTACCACTTTCATGCTTCAAAAAGTTCATAAAGAGATTGAAAACTAATCCATGTGAATTGAGCGGTTTAGTGCACATTTTCTGAAGAGCCCCAATTGCTTTACACCATGAACAGGAGTGAATTTAGGCTTTTATTCACATATAAAAAATTCATCAACTCGCACATCAGTTGTGGTAAACGGAAGCTCAAGCTTGTTCACCTGACGTGCGAGAACCAATGAGGTTCATTCTGGTGTTCTGCCGCACGCTTGATCTTCTGCAAGAGATTTGCTGTCGCGCATCAAGCAGGTTTGGGTTGAGCGTCTGTTTATGTTCTGTTTAATGTTTAAAGGAGTAGATTACTTTAAAAAAAACTTTTGCTGATAATTTACTCACCCCCATGTCATCCAAGATATCCATGTCTTTTTTTCTTCAGTCGAAAAGAAATTAAGGTTTTTGATTAAACAAATTCCAGCATTTTTCTCCATATAACGGTTCAAGGTTCAAAAGACAGGGCTTTAATAAAACAACAAAACAGGAAATCAATCACTCACTCCTCTTGCTTTAAAGCTACACTGTGTGATTTTTACCCCCATCTAGCAGTGAAAAGGTATATGACCATCCAGTGAATATTAGTTTCTGTTTCTCTCAATTCCGATTTCGTTTTAACTCCTACGGTGGCCAATGTGGCCCAAGATTAACATGGCTTCCAGTTCGACCTCGTCCATGAGTGTTAACTCAAACGTAAACGCGAAAGGCGAAGCTTGAATTAACGGGTATGTTCCTCTTTGGCTAATGTACTTTCAAGATGGAGGGGCAACATGGCAACCGACATTAGAACCCCTTACCCGTATGTATTTTCAACGGCATATTATACACTCACGAGAATACTTTATTACTTGAACGAAGAAAATATACATTAATGAGCACATATATTTTTGAAAGAACTAAGTGTTTTTAGCTGAGAATAAACTAAAAGAGTTGCACAGTGTAACTTTAATAAGAATCAATGTATAACTTATACAGTGAAGTCTATGTTGTGTTTTATTTTCATATTTGTTCATTTGTTAACTTTCTTCAATGCTACCGTTAAATACACCCACTGTAGCTGAAAAAATAAAGCAGTTTATTTCATTTGTTTATTAAGTTTTGTGTGTGCAATGTGTATCTTTGTTCTTAATTTTTAATAACAAAGAAAATAATGACAAAGATTTTTATCTTCGCCACTTTGGCTTTGTTTTTAAAATAGGGGCATTAGTTTGTCTGTAATGCTCAGTCTCTTGCAAAATAGTAAAACCAACATGAAAAAGAATCTTGATAAAATCGGACAT